ATAGTTTCTTTTCTCGTCATTGTTAATTTACTTCATAAAGAATTGTTAAGAATTATTCGGTTCTTTTGTTTAATTAGGAGATATTCATTATTTATAAAATTACGTGAGTCTCTCGATCCAAATTTAATTAAACGTTCATTATTTCTAATGCTAATACATAGATGATATTTTCTTTTCTCGTCATTGTTAATTTAAGTGATACAAATATATAAATAAAAATACGAACCATAAAAATATTCGTGCATAAACCGGAAAGTACTTTACAATGGGGGGGGGAATATACAGAGCGTTTTACGGTAATTACGTAGAAGTGATTGACGTAGTAACAATACCAATAATACATGTACATGTATTTTGTTCCACTGACTACGGATTTTAGAAAACTCTAACTCCGTTCAACTCCATTTTTTATTTTAGTAGGATTCAGTTTCAACAAGAATGTCTGAAAATTCATCGTGCTTGTGTGTTTCTTTCATCTTTATATTAATAACAAGTGTTTATTTTTCGGTAAGTACTTTCAACTTAGGACATTGCACATAATGTAAATAACTGATGGCATTGGTGATTCAAAGTGGGGGAACTCAAAGCGGGAAAACCACATAGAAATAGAAATAGAAATTGACTTCAAGCAAATTTCTGGCGAAACTGAAGCGATTTTTACTAAATTGTATGATGTTGACTTACCAGGTAAAATCAAAATTCCTTAAGAGAGTCGATTATAATTCAATATCTCTTAGTCTTGTTTTATCTTCTAATTACAGCCTACTCAGAACTCATTAAAAACCGAATAGCGGTCGCAAAATTTGCAAATCTTGTGAGTTCTAATAACTCCTTGGACACGTACAAAAAGAATATCGTCGATGATCTTCTTCGACTTAACAGTCATCTCAATCAATTCTCAAGAGACCTTGAATTCGTTTATGAAGAAGGAAACATCTTCTTCTTGATGTTTGAAAAATACGTCTCTGAATGGAAAGAATTGGCAATAAAGAAAAAGTATTCCCCCGAATCTTTTGAACTGATGAGAAATCAGTCTAGCGATTTTTCCATGAGTCTCTTCAAAACAACAAAGACAATGGAAGCTATCAAAAAATTTACACCTAACAATAATAACGAGATGGTTCTTTCTCAATGGATAAATTATTTGGATATTAGTTTAGGGTGTGACGCTTCGATTATTGAGAAATGCAAGTCTGAGCTTTCTCGAATTGAAAAAATCGTAGCGTTTCTCAGAAACAGTCAACTTAAGTTGGTTGAGAGTTTACATTATGTTTCGACATATTCGGAGTATTTGGGTACTATTATAAATCTTCTAACGAAAGAAAAAGTGAAATTAATACATGTATCAAGTGTTCAAACCACAAAGAATCTGGAATCTGCAGTTAGTAGAATTAAAACTGGCTATACTAAATTTTTGTCGGATCAAGATGTCGCCCCAAAACTCTCTAGACCAAATGACAATAATGACGACTCAGACACTACAGAAAACGTTGGGCACAAGATCTACAAGAGTAAACTTATTGGAGAAGTCGGGTGTCAGGAATTCGTGACTAACTTTGATAGTCATCCAGTTTTCCAAGGCGCACGCACGACAAAACATTCACCATACTTACGAAGCATTAAGATCAACATTGATACGTATATCAATTCGCTCACCTTTGAATGGTCCGACAACATATCATTTAAATATGGTGGGAACGGTGGTAAATTACATGAATTTGGTCTGGATGAGGATGAAGTAGTGTCGTGGGCCAATGTTTACACGCTTGATGGCAAGATTTGTGGCCTTGAATTTCGTACCAACAAATGGAAAGTTACAGGTATTTTATGCAATTCCCCAATTCCAAAAAAGCCCATAACTCTTCAGGCGCCACGTGGATATGAGGTCGTCGGTCTCTATGGCGGTTTTGATAAATATATATGCGGGATTGGTATTCTTTATTCGAGGATTGAGATGGAGCTTATCTAGATCGAATAATATTCAGGATATCTTAGAATAATCCTATTCTTCAGTCATTATCCGGTTAATTATGATAGGTTATTCGGATGTAAAATTAATCTTATAAGATAGTCCTATTCTCAGTTTTATAAATCTTATTAATACAATTACATGTATAATGTTACGTTCGTAACATAGAGTTATGATAATGTACATGTATTTACTTTATTATTTTACTCTATATTTTACTATTATTTTACTTTATTCTACTTTATTTTTATTGTATTTTGAAAACATGTATCTAGTTTAAAATTGTCAAAAATTTATAAATAGAAGTGCTGTCACTGCCTTCTATTCTCATGTTGAATCAAGAAAAGTTGAAATACAAAAACAATAAACTATTAACTTATTCCTGATAATAACATTTTCCCTCTTACTCAATAACATCTATTCACTTCAAATCTTGTATACAAGTGATCTTTATATTTTTTGTGCCAACAAAATCACGAGTTTTATATTTTAATACCATAACAATTTGAGAGTTTTATTTCTTTTTCCATAAAAAGTTGATTTAATTTGTTTTTTATAAAATATATAAACTTCTTTACTAAGAAGTAAATACAAAATTTAATTTATGAATATTGTTATGATATGAACTTTTATTATATTAATTATCTTACATCTTATTGGATAATTCATATTATAATATTATTGGATAATATTTATTAATATTTTATTGAATACTAGCTAGAAGAGATCTTATTAGATGGTAAAACAAGCAATATGATCATAGCAAAATGATCTAAGCAAAATTAGCAATATGTTCTTAGCTAAACTAGCAATTTAATTATAACAAAAATAGTAATATAATACTAGCAAAACAAGCAATTGGATCACAGCAAAAGTAGTAATAGTATCATAATAAAAATAATATTTATAATATTATAAAAGCAATGTAACTTAGCTAGTAATTTATAATAATTTAACTTACTTGATAATAACTTTGTAATAAGTTTTATAAAGTTTTTGTTTAATAGAACTTTGGTAATAACTTAATAAAATTATATTTAATATTAATTTTGATCTTGAAAGATAGATTACTATTAAATAATTAATTATTATATTTGATTTAAAAGACAGTTACTTAGACTTATTGTCTTGAATTATTATCTCTAAAATTATAAAGAAACTTAAAGTTATTGAATATTATTCTAGCTTATCACAATATGAATATATATTATATATCTTTAGTAATAGTTTTTAGTCTCTTTCATTATAAAACTTAGTTTTTCTTATCTTTAGTTAGTAAAAATACATGAATAATATATTAAGAATTTAAAGACTATAAATAGTAACAATATACTCAAAAGGAATTATTCTATTATATTTATAGATTAAATTTTGTATTTACTTAGTAAAAAAGTTTATATATTTTATAAAATATAAATATTTGATAACTTTAGATTTATATATTATATTATATATTTTTTTTAAAAATTTTTAGATTAATAATATTATAATAATAATATACTAAACTATATTAATATATTTTTTAATTTGATTATATATCTAAAATATAATAATAAATAATAAAGTAATACTATATTATATATAATTTTTTTATAAAATAATAATTATGAAAAAATAAACTAATTTATATTATATTAATAATTTTTAATTATTATTTTATTATTTTAATTTAATTTAGTATTATAATTTAGTATTTTTATTTATTTTATATATTTTTAGTAAATATTTAATTAATTAATAAAAAATAATTATTCAAAAAGTATTCAAATAATTATTAAAATAAGTATTTTATTTTATAAGTTATTTATATAAAGTAGTTAATAAACAAGAAATTTATTATTTCTTTAAATATAATTTTATTACTAAAATAACTAGTTTTTATATAATTTTTTATTTTAATTATTTTATAATTTCTTGATTTAATTTTAAATTAATATTTTTTATATATAATTATTTGTTTTAATTGAACAATTATATTATTTATAACTTTATTTATAATTTTATATATTAATTATAACTTTATTTATAACTTTATATTTTTTATTAATATAGTTATTAAAATTTATATTTGTAAAAAATATATAAATAGAAATACTATCTGATTTTAATTTAATATATTATATCAAGAAAAATAAAAATTATTTCTTAACAAAAATCTTTTTTCAATAATATTTAACTTTTTTATTTTTAATTATATAATTTTAAAATATATTATATTAAATAAAATATTATATTAAATTATTGACTTTGTAATTATATTAGTTTAGCAATAAAAGTTTTATATAAAAAAATTCTTTATAATTTATTCTTTAATTTTTATTTTTTAAAATTTTTTTATATTATATCTTTTTTATTTAAACTCTTATAATTTTTTGTAGAATTGAAATAAGACTTAGATATTTTTTTCTTTTTTAATATTTGTTTATTTAATTATTTTTTTAATTCAGATTTAAGTTTGCTAGCTAATTTAATAATTAGTAAACAAATATATAATTTATTATTAATTATACTAGTAAAAATACTATCTAAAATTTCTCATTTATTAAATATAAAAAATTTTTTATAATATTAAAATCAAAATATAAATATAAAAGTTCTTTTAGAAAGAATAGTGCTAAATTAAGATTAAATTTTTATAAATTATAATTTTAATAAATTAAATTTATTTATTTATAGTAAAGTGAACTAAAATTATTGATATATAAATAATTTAATTTATTAAGTAATTATTAATATTAGATTATAATTATACTTGTTATATTTATAATATCTATTGATATTAAAATAAATAATACAATTAATACTATATTATTATACATTTTTCACTGATAAGGTAATTAGCTAATAAATATGAACAAGGGTTGGGAGAGATAATTAAATAAATATAAGAAAAATATGAAAATAATATCTAAGTCCTATACCAATTTCTACTGAAATTGTTATAGTTCAAGAAGAGAAAAGGATAAGGTAATAGT